GGCTGGATGCTTAGGCTCTTTTTTTTTGTTTGCTGGATGGCAATGCAAGTTTATTGGTATAGCAGATTCCAGTGGCAAAGTAACTTTAAATGCTTTGCATGATGATACACAGAAGGAACATTAAGAATGTGTTACAGTGGGATAAGAAAGGAAAGTAATAAGTTATGAATTCAGATTATGAAGTTCCAGCTATTATTAATCAAAAACAACTCTAAACAGGTGGGTTTTACCTTGATTTGAAGAAGCTCAGTGTTCCAGCAGTCTTGAAGTTTTCTGGAAGTTTGTTTCAGATCACATCATCATAAAAACTGCTCCTGTGAATGAGCTAAGCCATTCAGTGATTTGTAAACTAACAGTATGTTAAAGTCTATTCTCTGAGTTACAGGGAAGGATTGTTGAACTGGGTGATGTGCTCTGTCTTCCTGGTTTTAGCGAGAATGCCAGCAGCAGTGTTCTGGATTATCATCCATTTTCAGGCAGCTTCAATCAGATAGCTACAGCTGTCTGATTGAAGTTCTTTTATGGCTACCTGTGAGGACACTGTTACAGTAATCAGTGCAACTAAAGATAAAGGCATGGATGTGTTTCTCTAGATTTTGCTGGGACATTAGTCCTTTAATCCTGGAAGTGTTCTTGTGATAGAAGGCTGACTTTGTAATTGTCTTTATGTCAGACTCCATCTCTACACCCAGATTCTGCAAACATCTAATGGCAGCATATATACCTTAAACATTCTACCAATAAATGTGATCTTTTACGTGATTCTTACTAACTCTGATGTAAAGTTTCTTCATCACTCAAAGGAATCACTGTCCTTTAAGTAAGATTAAAGCCAATTTTCAGTAATGTGCCAGAAAGTCTGACACTCCAGTAATATACAGTGGTGAAAAGTGTTGAATAGTGCGCTATGGTCCAGAAACTGTGGTTCTAAAGGTGAACCTCCACCCCAATCTTAGGTATTCTGCAGCAACTAACAGATTTTCTTCCAGGACTGTCCTGAATTTAGCTCTATCCATCTTCCAATAAAGTCTGAGCAGCTTTCCTGACTCTATTAAAGAAAAGATTCCCCATGGCTTAATGCACCCACCACCATGTTTCACCACAGAAATAGTGTATCCAAATGCAGTAGTAGTTTTCTGCAGTTTTGGTCTCAGTTGTGCAGAACACATTCCTCTTCAGGTTTCTGGTGTAAAACTACAAACAGAAATTCTTATTGCTTTATTTTTGCCTGTTCATTGAAGAGCAGATTTGTGGAGATCACAACTAAACAATTCAAGTTGTTTTGCAACAAATGACCAGAGTCCACATGATAATTCCTAGAACAGGAATTATCAAAGACAAAGAAAGACATGAAACATAATTCTGGGCAGTATATGTATTTGAGGTTCTCACTTTGTACTGTATTTTGTGTAGTGGTATTTGTCCAACTGTTCTGGTGCTATTTACCACTGGCAGAAAAACAACCACACAGCATAATACTGCCTCCACCACACTAGATAGTTTGTACAGTGCTTCTATTTTACATCAAGCATAGTTATTGGCAGAGAGGCCAAATAGTTCTATCTTTGCAATGATTGACCATAAAACCTCAACTCCAAAAGTTTTTGGGTTGTTTTTTTTTTTTTAGTGTAAGCAGCAGATATCAGGTGAGCTTGAAGGTTGTGCAAACATTTTGTTTTGCTTTATTTTAAAACCTACAAATTGAAATAAATTGGTGGTTCTAAAAATTATTTCCATAGTTGATATTTATAAGGAAAACTATATGTTGACTTTTTTTTTTCAAAGGCTATTAACAATTTTATTTATTGGGACTCTGAATTCTCTGAATTGCAAAGTTTGCAGACCCCTGCTTCAGAGGAAGGCGACAGAAATGTGCGGTTAAAAGTGGAACCATTTAAACTTATTACAATTTTCTAGCACTGTACACAGCTCTAGTGGTTAATTGAAGGATTGCTTTTCTATAAATCTGTGCTGCTTTGATGGCACATTGTATTTCTTTATTTGCAAGTATTGAAAAGTAAAGTCTGATTGCTTTGTGTTGGCTGATTTCCTGCTCCGTGTGTTGGCACAGTCCAAAAATGTGCCAACACACGGAGTAGGAAATCAGCCAACACAAAGCAATCAGACTTTACTTTTATTACTTTTTTAGCGCTAAAAAAGGAGACGCTTACCCTCAGACTAGATGTGAATGTGACCGAGTCTATACAGCATCTGACCAAAAACGGGAAGATTCGTTGATTATACTCTAAGAACACGCCCAGTGGTCATCCGATGTTTTGCGTCAACTAAGTTTCTATTTCCTTGGAGACGGGAGTCTGCAGATGGTTCAGTTTTTGTATCTGTTACAAATACAAAGGCCTTTGTGTGAAAATATAAGAATGTAATGTGTGAAGGCATGTGACTGTACTTGACCTTGATAAGCGTCTCAACACAAGCTAAAAAGCCAATCATTGGGCAGAGCCCTGTTTAGTGATCATAGATCTTTAGTAAAGCAGAAGAGAGTATCCGTCTGTTCAGTGTGTGCGGTTGGTTATTCATGTAGTAAAGTGCGAGTGTTATTTCTGAACTCTGGTTGGCTCAGGCAGCTCATGCATTGTCCCAGTTGTAATACTAATGCAGACCTTGCAGTACAAGCCAGTGCTTTGTTAGTTGACTGTAAAGTAAAACCTGATGCAGAAGCCACTAGAATAGAACAGTTCTGTATGGTTTCAGAGGTTAAAGGTTCAGCTTTTCATTGACCGATGAGTTTGAATTATGGACATCAACAATCAGCTTTAGAAAATAATATATGTAATTGTAAAAATTAACCTTTCACACTTCTACTAAACCTACTAAAATCTTTATAGGAGATGGGTGAAGATACAGCAGGATCTGAGCACTGATGCAGTACATGTATAGGTTCACACTTGCTGCTCCCCTACCTGTTAATGTAGCCACGAAACGGAGGTGGATCCACGGGGAGAGTACAGGGTTGTGAACAGCCAGCTGGTTTCTCAGTAGAATAAACAGCACAAGGTTGAATAAGGTTAGGTGGGGCTGGGTGGATTAGAAGTTTCGCATTGTACGTTATGCAAATCATCATTGCTTTAGTGTTTGTAAAATTCATATGCTGAGCTCTTTCTTTTTGGGGAACTTCTGAGTCAATTTATCTCATTGGCATTTCCTACTCCCATTTCCTATCTACAGATTGCTCCTTTTTCTTTCCTCCATTTTGTATCCATAAACAAACTATTTTGCATTTTTCTATCATTAAATATTTTCATTGGATGCTCTGGTGACGCAGGGGTTAAGCACAGCCCACATAAGGAGGCCTTAGTCCTCGACTTGGCCGTCGCAGGTTTGATTCCTGGCCTGGTGACCTTTGCTGCATGTCTTCCCCCTTCTCTCATTACCTGCTTTCCTGTCAATTCACTATCAAATAAAGGCCACTAGAGCCAATAAAACCTTTAAATATATATATATATATATATTTTCATTGAATATTCTAAAATTTTTATTTAATTCTGTTCGTTCTAATTAGAATGATTTTTCAGATGAAAAATTAGCCAACATTGGAGTCAGCAGGTCATGACTGTGATCAGCCAGAAAACTGAAATTGGTGCACACCTAGCTATAATTTATATTCCACCTGCTGTTCAACCCTAGCTCTTAAGTGTGTTAGGGCGATTTCCTGCTGCTGAACATTTGATGAAATCATAGGAATAGAAACATCCTGCAGATCTCTGTGTTTTAGACCCAAAAAGATAAAAGCTTGGGTAGAGTTTTACTGATAAGGTGTACTTGCCACTGACTGAAATGTTTACTTTCATATACTTATCAAAATATGGTATAATTTGGGGGTAAAAACTAAGGGATTGCAGTTTTCTGGACAGCTGCAAAGTTTGCAGGTCAACCTTTAAATAGGCTGACCTGCCAATTCTGATTTTGCCTGATACCAGTCTTTTTTTTTTTTTTTGTCTGAAAATACATACAGTGGTTAAAAATAAATATACTAAGCATGTTAAATTTTAGTATACTTAAGCATTCTTTAAGTCAGATTAATCATGAATATACAGTACTTCAATTTCACTTACGATTAGTTAACTTAAAGTGTGACATTTTGGAACAACTGATTTTGTGCTTCGCGTATTTTAATAGTATTGTATTAAAGCACAGTTTAAAGTGTGCTAAGTGTATGTTCACATACTTTTTTGGAACAACTTAAGTTACACTTAGTATACTTTAAGTATGTTGCTTTCTATGTAATATAAACATGCTTGATTAGTATATTTTGAGTGTACAATTTTTGTGATTGAATTACATTTAAAATATATTTAGAATGTATTTTCAGTATATTGGCACTACATATTTTATATATTAGTAGTGTGAATATAGTATGCTACAATTACACTTTTGGTTTATTGTAATTACTAATGAAGTACAATGAAGTACACATTTTAATTACGTAATGTCTTATTATTCTGCTTTGCCACTTTGTACATTATATACTTCATACACACTGCAGTACTGCCAACATATCAGGCTACCAGAACACAGAAGTCAACACACTTTCCAGGTGAAACAAATTACATTGTGTATTCAATGTATTACCATTTTGGTAACACTTTATTTGATGGGATGTGCATAAGACTGACATGACACTGTCATACCCTGGTATAAAAAAGAGTATACTTTAGTTATACTAAATTTTGACATACTTTAGTATACTTTTATCGATGTACTTCAACTGTACTATTTTGGAACAACTAATTTTGTACTTAGTATACTTTAGTAGCATTTAAATAGTATAAAATTACAATTAATAGTATACTTTAGTATACTATACGTACTTTTTTGGAACAACTTCAAGTATACTTAGTGTACTTAAAGTGTACTTTTTAAATTTCATATTTCAGAGCTTTATTATTATATTTTGATATAATTATTATATTTTGAGTGTTATTAATTATATAATGTCTCAAAATTATATTAAAGATATATATATATTAAATATACTTCAAATATATTTTAAATATACTATTAATTTAATAATGTATTTAAATTACACTTAATTTTTATTTTTGATTTCCTGCTATTGATAATAAACTACAATTTTTATTACTCTTAATTCGTCTTTATTCCTACGTAACTATTTTGTAAATGATGTGCATAACTACACTACAGTACTTACACTGTTTTAGGCTAAAATTACATAGAAAGATTAATTACACAAGATGCCCAAGGTAATTCAAATATTTTTTATTACAGACATTTTAAAACTGTCCAATTTTACTCACAACTTTATGAACTTCACATAAATTATCAGTTTACACATCAAAAGTGAACACATGAACGTGAAAATTTAAGTGTGACAATAAAACATGAAAGTGAGGATCAACGACAGAACATTCCCGTTCACTGCACCTTACAGAAACCTACAAAAAAGAACAATAGTGTAATTAAACAGAGAAAGCATTTGTATTTAAAGAGAACAGAAAAATGGCAAATAAAAAAATAATACAATTTTAAGACGTTGTGGACTCGCCATGTATGCGACATAAGAACTGATGATGATTGGGACCGGATGCCTGGGGTGGAAAAACATTTCTGGGTGTCGTCTTTGCCTGTTTATGTTAGAAGTAGAAAAAAATTGTCAGCAATGTCAGAATCAGTTGATGTTGGCAATAACTATGAAGCTGTTTTAAGTGTGGACTTAAGGAGACAAACTACCTTAAAATCTTGCCATCCATGATCTGAACACACTTATCCTTGCAGAGTGGTGAGGGGGGCTGGTGGTGCCCATCTCCAGCAGCCATCAGATGAGAAGAAGGGCTAACCCTGGACAGGTCACCAGTCCATCACAGGGCCCTGAAAGCCAACAACAAATAAAAAAATAAAGATAAATGTTAGATTAACAAGAAGAGAAAATTTCTTTCCAGTTACCTTTAAATCAAATCATGTTTATTAAGCATTTGGTGTTGGTAACAGCAGTTTTTGTTGTTGAAAATGTAGCAAGCTCCTCATTGAAAAAACAAACTTACATCATTAAGACGATCCTTAGAGCTGGTTGTTGATCTGGTGGAGTCAGAGCTTCTTCTGAGAGAAAATCTTTAGGTTTCTAACACCCGATGTCTTCCTCTTTCATCTTCATTTGCTTAGTTAGACTGCAAACATATGTTGAAGATAAAAACATTGATGAACGAGTTAGAACAACAACCTCAAAATATCAAAGTCTCTCTGTCTTATGGAGATTAATTAAAACCAGGTTAGTTTATGAATTAAAGTATAAGTCGCAAGAAATAGCCTCCATGCAGTTATAACATGAAACTGAATGATTACTATAGTAATAATCATACAAGTCACAATAAAATTGATAAAATAATTATTTAGGAAACCAACGTAAATTGGTTTACGTTGGTTTACGTAAATTGCAGTATGTTTTACAGTGCAGTAAAACATACTGCACTGTTTTACTGCACTGTTAAAAACAGTTCAGTATTTAATTATACTGCACTGTTTATAATTAAATGAAGATCATTAATAAGCAAACTTACCACCAGCTAGCAACACTTAGCAGCCTTCGTCCCTCCAGGCTCCTTTTGTGGCACACATTTCATTTCCATCAGTTGCTGTCCCGTTGTGTTGTCGTCCAACTCGGATTAGGACGTTACCAGCTTAAATTTACCAAAATTAGTAACTATTATCAATGCCCTCTCTACTTTTAAGACAATATTATGCGAGTAAAAATGGCGAATTTGAACAGCGTCTGTTATCATCCCTGCTTCAAGTTCTTCTCTTTGTGGCGTTTTTTAAATAAATGAAAGTGTGCAATACCGCCACCATCTGGTCTGGAGTATGAACTGGAGCTAATGCCGTTGATTATAAGGTTTTACATCACACATCTGAAAATTGATTGGTCACTTTCTTAAAAATTACATCATTATTATCCTTTTTTTATTGTATGCAATTTTAATAAATAGTAAAAGATTATTAAGGCACTTAAAAGCTCATACATATTCATTCATATTTTGTTCACTTAAAGTATACTTTTATTTAATACATTAAAAGTGTATTTTGGTACAATTATGTTTAAGTGTGTTTAAAGTACTAATTTCGAAATTGGTACAAGTGTATTGTTCGTATACTTCAGATATACTTATAGGAAGTACACTTAATAATTAGTATACTTAAAGTGTACTTTCACAATTTTAAGTATGTTTGAAGTATACTAAAGTATACTTTTTTTTCTTTTTACCAGTGTCACCCGGTTTGTCAAGGGTTTTTTTTTTTAAAGTTTTTTGTAAATGTCAAAT